GCTCTTCGTGGCAAACCTAGGGCTACGCCCGTACTGCTATTACTGCTACTACTGCTACTACTGCTACTACTGCTACTACTGCTATTGCTAGTACTGCTAGTACTGCTAGTACTACTAGTACTACTAGTGCTACTAGTACTACTAGTACTACTAGTACTACTAGTACTACTAGTAGTAGTAGTAGTAGTACTACTACTACTACTAGTTCTACTACTACTACTACTACTACTACTGTAGCTGCTACTACTACTGCTAGTACTGCTACTACTACCACCACCACTACTACTACTCCTCTTCCTCCTCCTCCTGCTCTTCCTCCTCCTCCTCCTCCTCCTACTCCTTCTGCTGCTGCTGCTGCAACTGACTGCAACTGACCCAACTGCTGCTGCTCATGCTACTGCCAGTGCCACTGCCACTGCCACTACGGCTACTGCAACTGCTCCAGCTTCGGCTACGGCTACGGCTCCTGGTACTGCTACTGCTGCTGCGAGTGCTAACAACGGAGCCCTATCTGACTACTGAGGTGCGGCGCTCCCACGCCCCCAAAGTCCTGCCTTGTGACAAGGAGTTTCTAGTTCAGACTTCAGGTTGCTGTGCCAACTGTGATCACGTATGGAGGAGTGCAAGGGAACATAGATAGAAATACCGTTACAGGGCCGGATGCCCAGGTGCAAGCAGTTTCGAGTTCAAGGGCCCTGGCCTGCATCAAAATTGCCTCCCCACGCCTGGACGCTCGGCCTGGGCAGCGCCGCCGATGCACGGGAAGACCAGGCAACGGCACGCCAGGCTTTCTTGATAGCATGCACACGAAGGGTAGAAATAGTTCTGCTGGTAGTAGTCGAGTTCGGAATGATGATCGCGATGGATGCTTTTTGCAGCTGAAGGGCGACCAGCCGCCAACCTTTGCAGCAGACAGTACCAGACGGCTGTTCCAAGCCAAAGGCCAACATAACTTAGGGCTCGTAGGACTTCAGACGAAAAAAGAGGTGATATGTAGTGCTTGGTGTAAAAAAGGGGGGTCCTGGAGAGATAATCATAAGTATCATTTTTTGGTATCATTACTGCTCATAAGATTACCATTATTATTGCCATTATTTTGTTTTTTAATCTTGTTGTTGTAGTGGATAGCTTCCCGGCAAAGCAGCCTCTTCGGGGCGGCTTTGCCGGGAAAGGCTTCGAGTTAAACACGACGACGGTCACATGCACAGACTCGTTGCTTTGCTTTTCGGCTTCGGGTTTAAGGCTTTTGGGTTTAGGGTTTCGGGTTTAGAGCTTTTGGTTTTAGGTTTCGGGTTTAGGGCTGTTGGGTCTGGGGTCTAGGGCTTAGGGGCTCAAGGCCATGGATCGAGCGGAGAAACACACAAACCTTGTCCCTCGAAGCCCCTGGCACAATCCTCATTCAACGGCGGAGCACCAAGGACATCATCCAGTCACGTGCGCGGTTTTCTGAATGAGGGTTCCCTTCAATGATCCCACAGAACCCCCAATCAAGCCTCTAAATCATCTCTTTAGGCAGCTTTGAAAACAAAACCTTGCTGGGACGTTCGTTGCTTCAAAGCTTCGAAAACCCGCCGACAGCTCCGAGCAGGGCCGCGTTTGTCGGCACATGGGGCTGCTCCTGTGGCTGAAAACATGCGAGGCCAACAGCAGGGGCCGCTGTAATGGAGCTACTCTCGATTGATTAAAGGTGCTCTTGTTGCAAAGACTGCCTCCTTCCACTTTGACTTGTATTCTTCGTGCACGTGATCTTCTGAAAGCTGTTGTGGGCGATGCAAAAAGTACTGCATGTTCTCCCTTGCTCTAGCAGGGCCCATCGACTGCACCATCTTTGACTGACGCACACAACAAAAGCAAGCCCTAAACGCTACAAGCCCAAGCCCGGAGGCGCTAGAGGCCTAAGGTTTAGGGTTTAGGGTTTAAGGGTTTGTTTAGGGTTTGAGGGTTTCAGCACTCACAACTGGGACAAGCCTGGCGAGGTTGAGGGTTTAGGGTTTAAGGGTGCCCTAAAGCCCTAGCGCCCTCGCCAAAAGTCCTTTGCTTCTTTCCTCTGCTGAGCCCTTCTCGGCTGAGTTGCGAGTGATGGGCTCTGCAGCCTAGGGCTCGGCAACGGGTTTAGGGTCTAAGGACCCTAAACCCTAAACCCTTAAACCCTAACCCCTAAACCCTTAAACCCTTAAACCCTAAACCCTAAATCCTAAGCCGGTTTCGAAAGTCTCGGGGGCCCAATAACCCCGAAACTTCAGGAGCGCTAGAAGAGACTCCGGTGGGCTTCGTGCTATTATGAAAAGATCGTGCTCTTAGAGTGTAGGGTTTAGGATTGAGGGTATAGGGTTGAGGGCTTAGGATTAAAGATCGTGCTAAACCCTAAACCCTCAAGCAACACCAAAAGACGGCGAAGCCCAGGGGTCGTCGACGCCAAGGATTCAGGGCTGGGTTCAGGGCTCGGGGGGCCCAGAGCTTAAAGGTTCAGGGTTCGGGTTAGGGTGTAAGGCAGTGTAAGGTTAGTAGGAGTTAGGATTAGGGGGACCCTTGGGGATATAGACCCTCTCAATAAGGTCCCTTTTTTTAAGAGAGCCACAAGTAGGGTTAAGAAGGGTCCCCCTTTCAGGGGTCTCCCTAATACTACCTAGGAGTTAAGTGGCTTAAAGGTTTTCGGGTTCAGGGGTTAGGCTTTCGGGTCTTGGGCTGCTGGTGTTTGGGACGTTTAAGGCTTGGGGTCTTGGAATTGGAGTGTGGGGTCTAGCGAGTCTAGCGGTTGAGGGTTTAGGTCCAGGGCTCCCCTCTGGCAAACTTGCGGCCATGTATGTGACGCGAAGCAGGACGCCCTCCCCGTTACGATCTCTCGAGGACAGTGCTCAAAGGAGAACCTCTGCTTGGCGCTGTGCAGAGGGCATCTACATCGTCTATCGCATGCAAGCGCCCTACGGCGAAGCTTTCCGAAAGCCTCGATGCAATGACATGTTGTTTTCTCTTCCGCAGCTGCATCGGGCGGCAAGTCAGCTCTCACTTCACAAGCTGCCTCTTCCACCCGGGACAAGCAGATCTCCTCAGCAAAGCAGTGCAGGGGTAATCAGCCTCTCATGAAACTAAAGGTCGGTCGTATCAAGAACATGCAACATACGATGCACAGGCACGGTCCTCGTACGAGGCGATGACTGAGCGCAGGTATCCGAGCTCGGACTCATATCGGGCAAACTGCCACCAAATTAGCTGCGACTGCCTCGGCTGCAACATCCTTATCATTGGCATTTGGTCGTTATTGCCACTACTACTGTAATTACCACCGCTACTCCCTGCCGTTGCCCCTAGCAGCAGGAGGCATTAGCATCACTTGCAGTGCTATGACTGGGGCACTTCATCTCACAAGTTGCACTCAACGCTGCTTGTTGGCGTGAGCTTCCAGCAAGTGGGAGTGCTTCTTACGAAAAAGGCTTTGTCGAGATTGGTTGACACCCTCACTCGAAGGATTGAGTCAGTCTTGGGGTTTGCAGTTTCGGGTTGAGGGGTTAGGAGCCTTTTCCCGTTTCAGGATGCTACTGCCTCTGCCATATTCTCGGTAAGAAACACCCGAGCGGCGATTCGGGAAGTGCATCAAGCAGGCGGTCAAGTGCCAGCAAGTTTTCGCGTGGATCATGCAGCACCTGGGCCCGCCGAGACGCCCGCGCACGGAATGATACGGCTGATGATCTAAATGCTGCATTGCCCATAATAAGACATACACTATAATTCCCATAGTTTAGGGTCCTTAAGGTAATGCATCATCAACAGTATCACAACTACAACATACGAGACCGTGCCTTCGTGTCGACCCCGTGCGACGGCAGGGGCTGGAGACAGTGCTGCTTTGCCTTAAACCGGATGAAGACAACGAAGACAAGGGTTTAGGGTTTAGGGTTTAAGGGTTTAGGGTTTAGGGGATGAAGACAACGAACACAATGCCAAACCTGCGCTGCAACTCTGCATTTTCTCCATGCAGTTGTCTGTAGACTGCAGACATTGCTCGCTCAGGGTTTCGGGATTTTTGATACTTAAAAGTTTAGAGGGCTGTTCCCGGGCCGACTACGAGTACCGGCACTGAACCGTATTCAAGTCACAGAAAACGATTCGTCAGAAGCTCTTTCCTTCATGGTCTCAGGGCTAAAACCGTAAACTCTAAACCCTTAGAAAGGGTTAAGGGTGTTTCTACCGTCTGGGAAAGTTTAGGGGGTCTCGAAAATCACCCACCGAGTATGCTCCCTGCCTGAAAGTGCTTCAAAAGGTTCCTACTTACATACACGCCAGCTTCAAAGCCCCCTTTCGACTCGGACCGCAATCCCTCTGAACCACCCGAAGCCCTAAACCCTAAACCCATATCCTGAATCTTGAAGAGGGCTCCGGTTCATGCGAGATGCTTTCTCAAGAAGCTCTGCGCCCAAGTTGTCCCAATGGATTTCGAAAAGGCTCTGCAGGGACGAGGGCTCCCTCGTCTTCGAATTCCGCAGGCTCTCCTGACGAAGGCTGTGCAACTGCTGCAACTGCTGTTCTTCTGCCAAGCTGCTGTTGCTGCTCCTGGTTGCGACCGCTTCCTCTGACGACGACTACCACGACTACCACTCCTACCGCTGCTACTACTACTACTTCTTCTACTACTTCTTTCCCTCCTCCTACTGCTACTTACTACTACGGCTGCTGCTTCTACTGCTGCTGCTACTGCTGCTGCTGCTGCTACTGCTACTGCTACTACTACTACTACTACTACTACTCCTACTACTACTACTCCTCCTCTACCTCATACCACCACTACTACTACTACTACTACGACGACGACTACTACTACTGCCACTGCTACTACTGTCGTGACTGCTACTGCTATTGCTATCGCTACTGCTACTGCTGCTGCTATTACTGCTCCTACTGGCTATTACTGCTCTTTTCGACAAGCACACAACTACCGATCCAAAGCCTACAAAGCCCCGACAAATCTTAAAGTGCTGTCAATCGTGCAAAAAAGAATCTTCAATTAATGTAAGGGCCTTAATAATTAGAATAGGGTTTTGGGAGTTGCTTATTATAACTATAGTATAAGATACCCCCAAACCCTATTCTAATTATTAAGGCCCCTATATTCGCCCTGAGGCTATTCACGCTCGGCCTGGCAAGAATCGCCGGGCTGTTCTGGACCCAACACCTCTTCCTCCTGGTACGAAACGAACTACCAAGGGCGGACGAGGGTTCTTTTTCTGCCTGGGTTTAGGGTTTCCAAAAGGTTTGGGGTTTAGGGTCTAAAGGATCTGGTAAGGATCGAGCGTTTGCGTTTGTAGGGGTTCCAAGAAGGTTTCAGGGTTTCGTGGTTTAGGATTGCCGTTAAACGGGTGTAGGGCACGGGGCCTCAGGCTGTAGGGTCTTTAGAAGGTTTAGGGTGTAAAAACGCAGGGTTCAGGATTTTGGGGATTCAGGACTTCTTCAAGGGGCTAACTCACCGACAAGTTACTATAAAACAAGATCACGAAAACCGAGGTCCGTTCAACTTCAGACTACCGTCAGTGACGAAGCATGAAATTGCAAACTGGACTCCATCGCAAACCCATGAAGCCCTCAATCCCTAAATCCCCCTTTACGCCCTAGGCTTAAACCCTAAAGAGCCCTTCATGCAACACTTCTTGCAACCCTAACCGCAACAAGTATACAAGCCCTGAGAGCGTTACATCTGGCAGCCGCATAGAAACCCCCTAAACTCTCAACCTTGTAGAGAGGCCATTAAAGGGTAGCCTGCGTAGTAACCCATAGCACCTTAAAGGGAACCCTGTTATGGACCTCAACAGTATACCCTTTAAGGGTACTAGTACTAAATACTATAAGGTTGTACGACAAGGTCCCTTTAAGGGTACTACAGGGTTCTACAGTCGGGTTCCCCTTCGAGGCTCCGTAGAGCTTAACTTAAGCCCTAAAGCGCGTCCTCGGCCGAGTCGATTCGGTAGTGTTGGGGATCTGCCTCCTCCCGGTGGGCTTCAAATTTCTTGGGTTTCAGTTAGGCTTCTAGGGTTTTCGGTACACTTCTCGGTTTGTGCTTTCAGGGTTTTGGGCTTAGGGTTTAGGTTTTGGGGTTTCAGACGATAAGGCCTACCTTTAAGTTTTAAGGCTGCGAGAAGGGTCCCTAGAAGGGTTGCTAGCATGGTCTTCAAGCTTCGGAGCCTTTGGGGTTTTAAGCGTTTGGGCTTCGGGTTTTTAGGGGCGAAGTGGGGCCCTGCCTTTCTGACCCAGGACTGAAAACCATGCCAGGGCACCTAGTGGTCAGACCCTAAACCCTAGAGTTAAGAGTTTAGGGTTTAGGGTTTAGGGTTTAGAGTTCCCTAAGGCATATCGCAGCACGCGGAGAGCAGCTGCATCCCAGCTCCTGAAATGCCTTAGAAAAACAAGTACACACACACACACGGAGGTGTGTGTATATACACATATACAGTATACATATTTGGGATCTCTAGCCATTACCACCTGGTGCTTTGCAACACGTGAAATGTCGTCCAATGCCAGTTGCCATAAACTGGCTGGTAGTGCAGTGAACAGATTAACAGCCAACGATCAATCGAGGGCGCGCGATGTTTTCCTGATAGGCATCAGAAGGACAAGTATGACGGAAATGAAAATAGGAACTGCGCAATATCATCGCAAAAAATTAACAGTAAGGGCTACCATAGCCGTCATCATAACGATCATGGCACTACTGTGCAGAATGCGGAAACATAAGAAATTAGAAAACGAGTAGCATTTGTAGAGATAGTCACACTTACATTGGCAAGGTGCAAAAGGCCATGGCGACATTGACAAAGTAGAAGTGACACACTACGAATCATCGTAAAGGTACTTGGATGTGGCAATGGCATTACTAACCAGTGTAGCAGTCATGCTCATGACAAGAGCCTGACAGAAACGAAAGCAATCCGAGGAAGAGTGATACCAGTGATATCCCAAACCCTGAAGCCTACGCAAGCAGAGCCAGTCCTTGAGGGAGCTGCTGCGCAGGGTCTTGTTCCTTGCTGGTAGCTCTGCATCTGAAGCCCCTCTGGATGAAACTATGGGTGGTTATTACTTTGGGAAGAAGGGCTTTGGGAAGGGGCCCCTAGCAAGCAGTCAGGAAGATGGATCTACGTATTGCACTAGATGGTGGAAGTTGTTGATTGGCTATGCTCGCAATTGGGCATGTGCTAGTGGCACTGTTGCGTCGCAACGCAGATTCGTGACGGTTGTGAAATGAATCTCTGCTGTACTCATTGAATGACTGCGCTATGGAGGAAGGCGCGGAGATATTTCAGCCGATGCTGCAGATGGGCTTCGTACTGTTGTCTACTGCTTATTTTTGTGTTGCGTTGATCTGGACGTACATGGCGCAACTGGCTCTGAGCCAGATCCCTGATTTGAGTACAGTGGTGGTCTGACACCCTAAACAGCACCAAAACACTAAACCCTAAACCGTGATGACCCAAATATGAGGGGATTTGCTTCAAAGAGGGTCTCAGATTATGGGGCTCCACTCTAGACCTTGCTTAAGCCCTGAGTCCGAAAGCCCGCCCTCAAACCCTGAACCTCAGGACTTTCGGGTTGCAGTTTACTGTTCGGGTTAAGGGTTCAGCTCTATGACTCTATGTCCAAGCCCCTTAAGAAATCCTTCTAAGGTCCAAGCTCCTGCTCCAGTTCAGCCACACGCCGGGCGTACCTGTTCGCGATGAAAAGGCAACTGCTGAAAACGCCGAGGGTTGAGGGGTTTGGGGCTATAGCGGTCTGCATCTAGGGCATGAGGAGTTCGGCTTTCGGACAATGGGCGTTCAGCGCTTTAGGCCCTCACGTCTTCCTTGGTACCTTGTGGGCGATCAGCAGGCATTCCTGGAGCATCCAGAACTAGCCGCCATGAAGCGCAGAACGATTCCGATCCCTTCCCGAGGTTTTCAGGTTTGGGGTCTTGGGTTTAGGGTTTGGATGGTTTGGGGCCTGGGGTTTAGGCCGAATTGAATTGAGCTTGGATACCAGCTCAGAAGCTCGTGACCATGATCTGCCAAGCGCTGCATCCGATCCTCAAAGCCAAAAGCTGTAGGCACACATGGCGAAAGCAGAAAGGGTCAACAGCGATAAGGGCTTCAAGCGGATGCGGCTTCTAGTCTGAAAACAAATCCTTTCCACAATGGTCACTGCCACATTGGGTAACTGTCGAAATCGTGGTCCCTTTGGAGAAAACTGTACAGGTTCCGGAACGTATTCTGCAACTGCAGCTTGAGAACTGCGACCGCAGCCACAGCTACCGCAACAACCACAACAACAACTGAAAATGTAGAAGAACGCGGAAGTCTACACAAACAGAGCTCAACC